TTACAGTAACTTTAGGAGTAAATTACTTTAAACTGAGTCATCGTGATGTAATAAAGGAGTAAAGGGCAGACTACGAATATAAGATTAACTTAAGTTTATTGTATGCTTACTATGCTTATATAGTACCAAGTGCTTTACATACACTATCTCATTTAATCTTCAAAAGGACCCTGCAAGTTAGAAATTCCTATCCCCATTTTACAGATGAGGATAACAACTTGGAGGTTGTGAGATGTCTCATTCAGTCACCTGGTGAGTAACTGCAGAGCCAGAATTCAAATCTAGGTCTCTCTGACCCAAACCTGAACTCTTAAGATCTATACTCAACTATTTTCTAAGAGCTATTACTGCTGACCTCGCAATGAGAGACAGAGTCTTCTCTTAGGACTTCCCAGGACCATTACTGTATGGTGTGGATAAATTATTGTAATCAAGTGTCTTAAAGAATTTGGTTATTATCCCTATGTACATGGTCCATAGGAAAATGATAGTCCCAGTCTAAATTTTATGTTATTAATTTGGTACAGCAAAGATCAGAAGCTTGTCATGTTGTTCCAGACATCTGAGTGAGCAGTAAACAAATTAGAAGAGGACTAAGGGAGAGAGCTAGGCAAGTCTTAACAGGAAAATGCACAAGGATTAGGAGAAGCAAATTCATGCTATTTTGACCAAGTAATTCAGATGTTAACTGAGATTAACATTTCCAGTCTAATATTAAATGTAGAAAAATTCATTTGCCACAAAGATGGATAACAAATAGGTTAGAAATTTTGACACTTTAACTTTTTATTTCATAAAATCCTGTATTGTTTGATAATTTAAAAATGGGCAATTATTTTTAAAATAAAAGAACTAAGAGTAAAATTAAAGTATAACAAAAACCTCGGGCTCTTAAAATAGGATGATGGAAAGGAATAGAAGGTCCAAGTCTGCATTTGCTTCTAGTCTTGTGAATCCTGAGACACATATCAATTTGCCTTTTGTGGCCCACAATTTCTTGACTTCCAAGTTATTGATTTACTAATAACATAAAACATGGAATGGTCTGATTTACCCAGAATGAAAAACTATCACAGGTCATGTCCTCATGGCAAGAGAATTTGATATAAGAAGCACCCAAGAAGGAGTCGGCCCGGTGCCCAAACTGATAACCACTGATGTGTGGGGAAAACTGGGCTAGCAGGGAACAGATTTACTGGCTGGACATGATGACCACATACATGGGGGAAATTCTCAACTCTTAACTCAAGTTTATAGCCTTTCTCATCATATATGTTGTACAAACACCAATACTAAAAATTGTATTGAATTTATATGTGTTATATTCATCTATAAAATATTATTAAAAGGTTGTTTTTTTTAGGAGTATATATATATATTTTTCAGTTTTATTTTATTTTGGCATATTATGGGGGAACAGATTTTAAGGTTTCAATAAATGCCCTTTCCTCCCTCCCCCCACAAGTCTGAGTTTCCAGCACGACCATCCCCCAGATGGTGCACATCTCACTCATTATGTATGTAAATACCCGCCCCCTCCCCCTCCCCCTGCCCAATACCCTATTACTGTAGTACCTATGTGTCTGTCCACTTAGGTGCTACTCAGTTAATACCAGTTTGCTGGTGAGTATATGTGGTGCTTGTTTTTCCATTCTTGGGATACTTCACTTAGTAGTATGGGTTCCAGCTCTAACCAGGAAAATATAAGATGTGCTATATCACCGTTGTTTCTTAGAGCTGAATAGTACTCCATGGTATACATATATAAAAGGTTGTTTTTTAATGAGTATATTTATATTTGAATCAAATTTTAGAATATTTTATTTCAGCTTTTATTTTAATGTCACAGCATACAAGCATCTCAGTATGATTACCATCTTTCAACGAGAACCAGTAGTAGGATAAAATAATCCAATGGGGACAGTACCCATTTGACAGATTTGGATTTTTCTAACCAGGGAAATAAATCTCTTTTGAGATTAAAAACAAAATAAAAAAGAGGGCAATAACTTGGTACCATTCACATTCGCATGCTAGATGAAGTTATAGGGAGCAGTGATTTAAATGCAGCAGTTGAAAGTGAAAGCCACATCCCACTGCACAGACAACCACAGCCATTCTATAGGAAAAGACACACAAGTGGAGTCTCAGAAAAGAGAAAGCTGTATATGGATACAAACGAAACAAGCTGCTTGCTATCTTCTGGTTTATGAGGAATCATAAGCAAAACAAGAGAAACACAAAGTAAAGAGGTGTATCTGCTTGACTATTCCAAGGGCTACCACTTCCTCATTATAGTGAAGGAAAAATAAGAAGGAATATTTCTTTTAAGTGGCTATGCCATGGATGAAGAAGAGCACATATAGAGCTATATATAGTGGTATTGGGAACTCTTGCTCTAGGTATGAATATAAGGTCCACGGCTACCTCTGGCACATAGATTAGCCAATGGCTCTATATCATGCATAAATCTGTTACTAAAAATATCATTGAAGTAAGATTAAAGAACCTCAGCTGATTCACCATCCCTGTGTTTATGGGAATGCAGTTTTTAACTAAATGAAACAGAATTTTCTCTTAGATTTACAACTTCTCCTTTATAATGTTATGATAAGCAAAATGCTTAACTACCAAAAACTTAAAAAAAAAATGAAAGTACAGAATGAGTAAGAGAAATGGCATTATCTCATTGATTTAAGTTCCTGCTTTCTTCTACTTGCCATAACTGCATCCGCTTCCCATGGTCAAATTCTGTAAAGAGTTTTTAAAAAGTATAAATAGATGGAAACATATTTCAAAGCCTACCAAATAATTTCTTAATGATGGAGTACCATGTGAGATCTATGTTAGAAGAAAGATTGCGCTTAACTGAGGACACTGTCAATAAAAACCAGAAATCTTCAACAATCTTTAGAGTAGAGACTTTTAAGACTCTAAAAAGCAGAAAGAAAACAGAAACAAAACTGGAAGCTACCAACCGGGGCCTGCAGCTTCTCCCTCTGTTAAGGTTTTGTCAAGTCATTAAAAAATAATGATAGATGCCCTGTTCAGGTAGATTAAATCATCTAATGGTGGAGATTCAAAGATATATTAATTGCTTTAAGTAATAATGTGGAGTGCAGAGAAAAAGTAAAAAACTTCTAGAGTTTCCTCTTTCTTGTTCTTTTATGTGGGGGATGGGGCACATTAGGAGGAACAAACATTGACTAGAAGTGTGTGTGTGCGTGAGATGGCTGGAAGTGGCACAAGAGAGAGAAAATACAGTTCTCCATACTTTGTGATTAGCAAAAGGGTAGGAATTTATTTTGTTTGTCTGTTTATTTGTCTTGCTTTGAGGTCTAGAATCTCCAAAATCTCTAATTAGACCACTGAGGAGCTCATTCTGCAATTTTATTAACTAAAACTTCTTACATAAGATTCTCTAGAGGATCATGGATTACTGAGTGGGTGCCATAATAAACATACAAAATACTCACTTGTATAATTTTTATAATTTTTGTGTGATTGAGAACAGAATGCTTATGTTGGTGAAAGCACTAACACTTGAGTTAGATGTTAATCATGTGAAACCAGGATTTCTGTATAAGCAACGTTTGTAGTGTCATGCTTGAAATTTTGTATAGCTTCAGCCTTTAAAAACTTTAGAAGGTAATGAAAATTTTAAAGACATGACACTGAGAATATCACAAGAATATTTGGTAATTTGTTTTCAAATCATCAACTATATGTATTAATATATATATGCATTTACATTTGCTATATCCAAAGTGCTAATTCTAGATATTTGAGCAGTAACGAGAATAATGATGAGTTAGATAAAATTTGCAAGGATCCTATAACATAATTGGAAAATAAAGCATAAGGGCCTGAAAAGTCAAATTATAGCACAAAAGTCAAATAGTTACAAGAGTACAAAGGACAATGTGATTACATAATTAATCATCACATTAGTGCCATGCCATCAGAATTATATGGAAAGGTTTTTTAAAAACTAATGCCTGGGCTCTACACCAGATCTCTTGAATTAAATTTCTGGGAAGGGTGTGGGAGGATAGGGAGTCTAAATTCAGAGATGGGAGAGAAGTTGGAGGAGGCGAGATTTGGCATTTTGTTTTTTATAAAGTCCGCCAGGTGATCCTGATGAAAACAGTTTGGCATAACAAAGTGGATCAGTATTTGAGTGTCACTGCTGTGGGCCAGGATGGTACCATTGTGCAAATATACTTCTACTAGTAAAGGTGACATATAGACCAACTGGGCTTTGGGTTAAGTAAGATTTTCAGGAGAAACTCTCCTTTTTCCAGCCCCACAGTAAGATTGGGAACTACTAGGCTAGATCATGAGAGTGAGAGTCCACAGTGGAGTCAAAAGATTTCAAGGAGGGGGAGCTTGCACTGGGTTTTAAGAGAAAAATATTTCTTGTCAAACTGAGAAGAGAAAAGCTTGCCAGGGAAGAGGAACAGCATGTATTCAGGAAAGTAAAACTGGGCTTGAAGCATGACACATTGAAGAGTTGTTTAGAAGAGAGGGTTCATGCAGGGGAATGCTAGACTGTAGAGAGGATCGGATTTCCTACTCAGGTTCCACTCTGTTTTTATTATGGAAAACTGTGAATACCAAGTCTAGGACTGTACAAATCTCAATCCAATAAACTCTATTACTTTTGTTTACTCAAGCTACACTCAAAACGTTAATGTCTTATTAATATTATTTTCATTATAATTCACACATCTAGGATGCACTCTTGGCGTAAAATTTTGTTTCTTTTTACATATTTCTTATTTAAAGAAGGTTTTAGGTTGTTTGGTTGATCTTATTCAACTCTTATACTTAATAAAGAAAAGTCAGGACTACAATGACCTGTTGTTAATGACATAAACTATCTGTGCACAACATGCCTTTATAAAGAATGTCAGAAAGAAAGTATTTTCAAGACAATTATTGGCATTACTAAGATTTACTGGTTGGGCTTACACAACTTGAACCAATATTATGATTACCTGAGTGAGTGGTTCCTGGTAAGATCAGGTTGACGCTCCTGTAGAATTTCAAAGATATTGGGTTGACGCAGAAATGCAACAATCTTGTCATTGTAAGCTGAAAATATCAAAAGATAATTTTTTGAAAATCTGTTATTAGTTTTGTGCATAGAAATCCAAACTTTTTAAAATCTGTTTTCCGGTTAATATTCCTTATACTCAAAGTCCTAGTTTAGACATACACTGTTACCACCACTACAGACGGTGGTATACGTTCTGATTTGTGTCTAACCTGCTATATGGTGACTGCACTTAGATCTGTCAGGTGTGTCTTAAGCATTCTTATTAAACTGATTTGCCATCTTTATTATCAAATGGCAAGATGAGATCGCCAACAAGGTTCTAGATCTTGATAGTTTTAAGTTTACCAAAATCAACCTCACAGAAATTACAACAGTCATAAACAGAAAACCACCTTCTCATTAAGTATCAGTCAGTCTACGAGGTAAAGAGGCAGAACCAGAGTGGACAAAATGCAATAGTTGTCATCAACAGCTATGACCAAAATGCAGAGAACAAACCATTCTCAAACTCTATGTGGAAATAAATGTCATTAAGCCACAAACAGCTCTTTACCAAACCATCTATACCAACAGCTACAACACAATCATCATTGTCACCTATGTATAAAACATGTTAAGTAGACTGTTAGACTTTAACCCTAGATTTCTTCCTATCCAGTGGTTGTCAAACTTCTTTAGTCTACACTGCATTTCATGACACTTTTTTTTTTTTTTTTCAGAAAAAATTTTAAAGCAAAAACAGATGAATAGAGAGCTACTATAACTGAAGATGGAGCAGGGAGTCTGGATGGCCTCCTACCAGTCTGGCTACTCCACCTGTCTAAGATTCTCCACTGACATACTTCAATCTCATTTTAGTAATGACTCGAGTTGTCTTTTTAGGCCTATATGCCCATGTTCATTTATTTTTATTTTACTATTTTGGAAGCTCTAGCTGGATTCTATTTGTTAGAAAAAAACCTTAAGCAATGCTGTCATTGCTTGTTTATTTTGTGATAAACAAGACAGATTCATGAACCATTTAAATTCTGTCTCAAGCCTTAAATATACATTAAGTACATGTTTGTCCAAATGCTTAACTGATAATATTGCATAATATATTGCCTTAAGAAATTATTTTCCCTTAACTTCAATAATATGATACCTTTACTCAGGAAAGGTAGAGTAATATTAGAAAAATCTCATCCTCTAGAATTTTATGAGACAGAAGCCCTTTGAGACTCAAGTCTCTAAGGTGTTATAAATGTCGTAAGAATAATGCAACAACTTCTCAATACAGGGCAACAAGTAGCAGGATGACAACAGGGAAGTATCAGCACAGTAGGCATACTATATACTATAGCATGAAGCACAGATAAAAATTTTCAGAAAGGGGTGACATACCCACTGGCACCATGTCTTGGTACTGTGGCCTACTGACTGTATTGAACGTGCTGGATGGCCTGGGAAGAACTGGTGGTCCTGCATGTCGAGAATCCTCTCCTACCTGCAAACACAAGCATCATTTATGTTCTGCACCAAGAGCCAGACTTTTCTCTATCAGCATTTCCAACTGAGTTGTTCAAAATACTTCATGAGCATGGAGAAGCATCACCTGAGCAGAATGGACGCCAGCTGTGAAGCTGAAGCAAGGTTCTGGGTTCTCAAAAGCCTTGCTTCAGTGGCTGGAGGAGGGAAAGGTTGAGGCATCCACATCCCTAAGTGGGGCTGGGGCAGTGACTATTTACCAAGTGGAACAGAAGTAGTTCAACATGCTTATAGTTATTAAGACTTTAGCAGTTAAACAGCAGACCTCTTGATCAGGAATCACTTCTGCCTTGACAGAATACAGTCTGTGACAATACAATCAAAGGGAGGAACTCAGTGCTACAAAATGTATAGAGGCAGTGCCAGGATATTCCTACTTTGGCCAACGCAGGCCCGGGAATTCCCTGGCTCAGCAGAGGAGGGGCTGAAGAGCAGCAATCTTTGTGTGGGGTTCTTAGTTGATGTATTACCTCCTTGGGAGCAATTTTACATGCCTATTAAGCATCCAGCACAACAGCTCTTTCTGGTTTGAGCCTCCCACACCATGGAGCTAGTAGGAGCAGGTGTGGAGGAGCTAAATAGGGTTGCCCCAAACGGAATTATTTATTGTACCTAATACAGATTTAGAAACTCATACACACAGGTAGATAACCAAATATGCCCATTAATATTCTCACTGAAAAAAACTCTTAATGTTGCTTTAGCTTGTGTTTTAGCATTTTCCCCTATATTACAGAAATCTTTTAAGACAATAGTAGGAGTAGAAGAGAAGCGGAAGAGAATGAGAAAACAAGAGGCAAAATAACATACTGTACTGGATTTAGACATTGGTACATTTAAAATAGAGCTTCTACTCCCACTTACAGCAGCCATTTTATCATACTGCATCAGTTAGGTGTTTGCTAAGGATTTTTCTAAAGGCCCTAATGCTACAAATACCCTCCCCCCCCCCACTGCTTGTGTGTCCTTCAAGAATGCACTTACTCCTTCAAAGTGTCATTCAAACAACCCCTCCTCCACAAAGCCTTCCCTTCCCTTCAAGCTGGAGTTAAATGCCACCTCCTCTGAGCCCCCATAGTTTGGAGTGATGTATATTTCTAAAGGAGTTGCCATTGTGAACAGTTCATATCATTTGTCAATTATACCTCAATAAGGCTGGAAAGAAAGAAAAAGGAAAAAAGTCATGTTTACCTAAAAAAGTTATTAAAGTATACTTTTCTTTTCAAACTACTAAAAAAACTGTTTATAAAGCTTTTTTCACTCTTATTTTTACTCATTTGTTACATGGCTCCACATTTTCTCTTATTAAGAACACAGGAGGCCGGGCGTGGTGGCTCACGCCTGTAATCCTAGCACTCTGGGAGGCCAAGGCGGGCGGATTGCTCAAGGTCAGGAGTTCAAAACCAGCCTGAGCGAGAACCCCGTCTCTACCATAAAAATAGAAAGAAATTAATTGGCCAACTAATATATATATATATATCAGCTGGGCATGGTGGCTCGTGCCTGTAGTCCCAGCTACTTGGGAGGGGCTGAGGCAGGAGGATCGCTTGAGCCCAGGAGTTTGAGGTTGCTGTGAGCTAGGCTGACGCCATGGCACTCACTCTAGCCTAGGCAAGAAAGCGAGACTCTGTCTCAAAAAAAAAAAAAAAAAAAAAAAAAGAACACAGGAAATGTGTTATTTGTTTGTATCCCTCAAAATACCAACCACTACGTTTCTACGTTATAGTAGGTGTTTGGTAAATGTTAACTTGTTTGATGGAAGAGATACCAATACTTCTACTGACTGGGATATCTCCTGAATGAGACTAGATGGTGGCTGGAAAGACCCAAGAAAATCTCACCCTGTTTCTCTTGAGTTATTGACTTAGAGGAATGAATTCAGACACTTTCTGGGGAGATTCAATCATTAACTACACATTGTTTGTCAGAGAAATTATCATTTCAACACATCAAAATATCCTTCCTGTCAGAATGTTACCATGTATCTCCATTTCCCAGGAAAGTCAAAGGTCTTCTCCAGGAGACCTCACTCACTTGAAGCCAGACCATCAGGCAGTGGGCAATCCATCTGAGGGGCTGTGCTTCAGTATATGCACGCCCAACAGCTGGGTCAGAAAGGACATTACCCTGGAAGGTTTCACAATGCTGTAGTCGATGCTGAGTCTATGTGGGGTTCTCTCTCCTCCACTGCTCAGTTTCCATCAACAGGAGGAGAGGTCTTAATGTGGCCCTTAGGGCCCCTCTCCCACAACATGTTACTACCAGAACATGAAAATAATTCCAAGTTCTAAGGTTAAAGGAAAATGCAAGTGTAACTATCAGCCTCATGCATGTTTACCCAGAAAATAGTCCTGACCTGATCCAACATCAGCTTCATATTGTGAAGTCAGGTACGACAAAAAATGGCTAAAGTTCATTGGCCATGTGATAAAGTCAGATAGGGACCTAATTATGCTACAGATCACACATGAGGTCCAAAGGTCTGTTTTGCTTTTAAGATGAATGCTGTTAGCATCATCCAGTTCAACACCAGTGGTTTACATGACAGCAAGCTAAAGATTTATTAGCTACTCATAAAACATAAATATTTTCGTGCATACCTCATCCTACAATAGATTTATATATCATTTTTATATGAGCTTCTCATATATATTCTTCTATTTCTGCACTTACAACCAGCAAACACATGCTACATTAGACCAAGCACGTAAATCACGAGGGGAGATTCCAAGAGTGGAATTTTGATGAATCAAATCCAGTTATTTATTGCATTCATAATTTTTTCTTATAATAGAGGCTACAAAAATATTTGACCTACAATATAATATTGAAAATATGATATGCACATGGACATAGAAAAGGCATGCAGGAAATAATTCTATTTGTCTAAGAGAATTTTTGGAAACAATGTACATCAAGCAATGACATACACTCAAACCACAGACCCAAATTTAGGAGAAGAAAACTTGACCTAAAACATTCCTTTTATTTATTTAATCTGCTAAAGGAAAAAGTGAAACAAGAGATTTATTTTGGGGGTTAGGATATTAGAGGGCCCTCATGTGGTTACCATAGGCCACTGCAAACTGGCCAAGTAGAGCACAACAATTTTCATACATTCTTACTTAGTTCAGCCCATTTTCTCTAGGCACTTAGAGTGAGTGCATAAACCAACTCTCTCAGCTGCACCTTAATTTTAAAGAATATTAGGGAAGATTCCACAACTCCACAGCCTTGGGCAAAAATTTTAATGTAATCCAGAAAAAAATCAATTAAGAAATTCTTCCCTATATTTAACCAAATTTTCACCCTCTAAAAGTTACATTCATTTCTCTATCATTGGGTGTGCAAAAGGGCTTATCATCTTCTCTTGAACATTTTATAAACAGTACATTGTCAATCCCTTCTCATCTTCCTCTGAGTTAAAAAAAATCTTTAATTTCTTCACTCTTTCCTCATATGCCCTACTTTTTAAATTTGCAATTTAGGCTGTTTGTATTTCCAGAGAAGCCCTGTCAACAGTCCAAAGCTTTTCAGCCTCCAAATGATAGTCTCCAAGTAAAACTTGAAGGAAAAAAAAAGAAAAGAAAGGAAATAATAAAAAACCAACCCAATTCCACAAACCACCACATCCTAGTGGCTTCTACCATCAGTCCCTAGAACATGAGACTCACCTCACCCGCGCTGTGGCTGCGTTGCCTCGTCAGGTGCTGCCGATGAACCAGCGCGCTCGTGGGTCTGCTGCTCTGGAGGGGCAGCCGGGGGTCGATGAAGGTGGTGGTGCGGGAGTTGTGGTCGACAAAGAATGCCTAGGACACAATCCACTGAATCAATTGTCAATACATGCCACCTACATGTCTTAGTGGACCCGTAACATCACACCATCAGGACAAGATCCCCTTCCAGGTCATGATCTTAGCTGTGTCTTCTCACAATTTCCAGTCTTTGGGGGCAATTTCTCTGTGCCCTCTTAGGACAGACCAGAATAGATTAGATCCAGAATGAAGAGAGCAGGAAGGAACAGTACCCCTGGTTTTAGAAGTACTCTAAAGAGATCGTCATCAAAGATATAATGTGAGAAGGAAGGCATAACAGTGGACATTTAGGCTTCTCTTAACTGATGCTTGTGAAGCTTATTGTCATATATGGTTATTACAAAGGTCTTATCACCTGAAACTTCAAACACCATTGATTTTTCTTTCTCTTTTCCTTCTCCTATGCTGTCAGCCACCAAGTCCTTCCCATTTTCTCACTGCAGTGTCCTTTATTTGTCCCCTCCCATCCTGAATTCCACCCTACTATTAATATTTCAGGGCTTAATCTTATGTATATAAGGACTAGTAGTTGCTCAGTTGTTCCATATCTCTGCCATCTTTATTCATACAACTAGCCCCTTACTACAAGAATATTCCCTCTAACTACTTTGATTACATCATCACTTCAATCCAAAGTCTCTAATGGCTACTCACTGTCTACAGAAAAAACATCCCAACTCTTTGGTCAGTTTTTCACCACTCTTTAGAAGTCTTCCTACTGGTCTTTCCAGTTTAGTCACCCATTACACTCCCATCTAAACTCATCACATACTAACTATAACTTTGGGCAAGTCACTTAAGTTCTCTAAGCTATAGATTTCTTATAAAAACAGGTCTCCATCATTCATGATAAACATTTCTCCCCTGTAATGTATTAGGAGGATGGAAACCATGTCTCTATCATGTTTACTGCAAATCCCTGGTGATGTGAAATCATGAATGAGCAGAAACTGTTTACCTCAGTGTTGCAGTGAGGATCAAATGCAATGTAGAAAAACATTTTTTTGTTTGTTTAATTCTAAAACTACACAAGCGCTACTTATCATTATCACTAGGGGTCAAATGTTGTAAGCTTTCAAAATAAAATTCACTCAAGGTAATAATGAAATCCATTATCTCAAGTCCAACTAGAAATTTTAAGTTTTCCATGATCAGATAAAGCAAAATTAGGTCATCACAGATAAAAGAGACTATTAGGAGAGCCAGGAGAATCAGTACCTATAAATCAAGTGTCCAGGCACATGATGTATGACAAATAACCTAAGCAAAAAAGAAATGACTCTTCAAACCGATGGAACTCAGATAACAAATTATCTTAAAGATGAGGGATGAATACCTCTAGGCAAATCCCAGAGGCAGAAGGTATATTTATGCCTATTAAAAAAAAATTACCTTCCCATTATGGAACAAAATGTTTCTGCATGTATATAATCAGGAAATGACCCAAAATAATTTATAGGTAGGTCCCAGATAGAAAAAAAATTGTATACCTTTATAAAGAAATAACTTTAAGATTAAGCAATGGATGCACTAGAAAACGAAGCAGAAAAATGGACACAACAGGAATCTCTCCCCGTCCCTTCTCTTAATTTCAATTTCCAGGTACAAAGACTGGAATAAATGGAGGTTCTGTGTGAGATTTTGTCGTCAGCCTCACATCCCGGACAATGCTCCCTCCACAACCTGTCAGATCAAACATCTTTCTTCTCAGATCTTATAAAAAGTACATCAGTGATAAAACCTACCCAGACTTGAACTGAGAAGCTCTGGTGCCAAATGTCACATTGGTCCCATTTCACTGGGGCTTCTAATAGACTTGTCCATTATTTCTGCCACTATTCAAAATGTCATAAAATAGGAATTAAATTATTTTTACAAATGGACATGGTTAATACCTATTTTTCAATAACCCCATATCCTCTTTATGTCGATTAACAAACTTTTATTACTAATATAAATAACATAAAACTTGTTGATTAAGGGAAAAATACAAAGAGTACTAAAATAGAATCACCTATTTTACTCTACCTAATTTCTTAGGAATGTTTTGAAGGGATGGGTGGCCATTAGAGGTACAATGATGCACTTATAATTATAAGGACAAATGGGTGTCTACATCTAGGTCAATTGTGACTTGCATGTAGTATCACAGCCTAATGTGATATTAAGAGGCTTGTCCAAAACCCATTCTCTAAACAATTATGTTGCAAATGCCTTGAGAGCAGGGGCTCTTTCTTACTCTGTTATCCCTGACAGCTTTTAGGACTGTGCCTGGGAGAAACTGTGTGCCCAGTAAATGACAAATTGCTAAAACTCTAATATGCAGATTCCTGACCAAAATACAAGGGGACAATTCACAATTAACTAACCAAGTATTAAAAATCATGTTATTTTACTTAAGTACAAAAATACTTAAAGATTAGGAAAAAATAAATGATGGGGGAGGGAAAAAGAGAAAGAGTATGTGTGTGTTAGGTAAAAGAAGGGAAGCTAAAGACCATAAAATTACACATAGGTAAGAAAGTTTTAAAAATCCCACTGTAAACATGAATAAAGTACCAGGTTAAAACTTGAGAAGTGGGAGGCAAAGTAATGATGAAATGCTTGGGAGCTGGAAAAACACAAGCCTGGTTCTGAGCTCTAGCTCTGCCACTTAACTAGCGATAAAACCTCAGGCAAACTGCTTAAAGCTTTTGAAGCTTCAGTTTCTGTTCTGTTAAATGAAGATAATGACATCTACATTAAAGGAAGGCTAAATGAGATGGTTCATATACATTTTTGAACACAGTGCCTGATACTTCAAATGTGAGTTACTATTATTATCACTAATAATTGTTTTCCTTTCCAAAACATTTTCCTAAGGATCACAATGTTTCTTGCTACAGCTCATTCACAAGGCCACAAGGCTCGAAAAATAGAGAACCAGTGAAAACTATGCTTTCTAGGCTCCTTGTAGATATGTGTGACCAAGACTCTGGCCAGTGAGATGTAAAACATGGTACTCTGGGAAATCTCCTTGCAAGGGACAGGTGATCTCTCCTTCTGTCTTCATCTATCCAGCTATCTGAAATAATGATGCAATAGCTGGAGCTCCAGCAGCCATGCTGAGCCATGAGATGAAGCATGGCTGAGCAAAAAGATGGAAGGAGCCAGGGGCTCTTACAACTTTATGAACCACCTGCTAAACCCTGGACTACCTACCTCTAGCCTTCTTTACATGAGAAAATACAATCTTGTGCATTAAACTTTGTGTAGGTTTTCCATCACAATCCAGTCAAACTAAATCCTAACTGGTAACAATGAAGTCTCCAAATCGCAAATAAAACGTGATCTCTCCAAAATTGAAGCCAGAAACCACCATTATACATAGGAATGTTTGTTATTCGATAATAACAATATCTCATTATCATTCCCCTTTAATATAGTTGAGTGGCAATTCCCAATTTAAATGAAATGTATAGTTGGAAACTTATAAAGCTGGGGTTTGTACCTGTATTTCAGTCTGACTCCAAAGCCCAGTAAGTAATACCTCTTTCTCTACCTCTCTTCTTTTCATATATCTTTTCTTTTTTTCCATTCTGCTTTCTGCCTACTATCTTTTCCTTTTGGGGTTCTTCCCACTCTTCTCACACCTCATATCTTACTTGATTTTAGAAAAGCACATAAGCATGTATCAAATTAAGCTGACAATAACGGCCACTCACAGTGCTTAGCCTCGCCACTGTTTCAACACTGAAAAGCCTGCTACCGATCCCAGCAACACGCTGCACTTACTCTACAAAATTCTCATCGCTAACCTGTGGGAAGCATGGCCATGGGTGGGGAATAGGTGCTATCTGTGTCCCACAGGGGCTCCATTTCAGAGTCAGATGGAATGTGCATATTGTTTACACATGCTTCTTAAGTCTGCCAAGTACTGGGGGAAGAGTTCTCGAATAAGACCTCCATCAAAGCCACATAGCTAGAGCACTAACAGAAGACAGCATTTCTAAGAAGCAATTCCTTGGCATGCATTTTGGCTGTGCTGCAGGTCCACTGTGTGACCTTGGACAGGTTTCCTTAGCGCTTTGCTTTATCCATGTAAAGGGGATTTCTCAGGTCACAGATGAATTGTGAAAAGTATATTCTACTTTTAAAAAAAGAGGAGAGGATAGTGCTAATTCCAGGCTTGTCATTTCTATTTGTGACACACATTATCAATTATGTCAGGAAAGTGGATTGCTTTCCCACAGGAAATGCTAACTAGTTCAAGCCACCAATAAAGTTGACCTAGTACTTTTTTTTTCAATTGGGTCACTCTTATGTCACAATTTTTGAATAGCCTGTAATCATTTATGAAAGTATATAACATGTATTAATAAATATTGTCTAGATAGAGTATGTTGAGAATGCAGACTACACTTTTTTCATGCAATTGCATGAAAAAATAGATTCTTTTCATTTTAGCCACTAGCAAAGCAATATTTTGAACAATATTGATTCCCTACTGCTCAGTTTCACTAAGGAAATTCACGTCAGCTTTACAGTGCTGGGCCAACTAAGACTAACAACTCAAAAACTGAAAGGAATGCAAATACACAAACTCAAATCTTACTTTAAGAACTGTTACCCTTTCATTGCTTCAGGGCATAGTCAGAGTCAGGAAATATGGGCTGGTTGGAGCCAAGTGGTATTTCAGTGAGGCCAACCAAAATACAATTCTTTCTTTACACAATTCTTTCTTTCTTTTTTTTTTTTTTTTTTACTTCTATTATTTTAAGAAAAGAAAAAGTCATCAGTATTTGTGAAGAAATACCAACCTCAGGCTCAACAAATCTAAGTTAAAGAAGTTTGAAATTGTTTCCAGTTAATCTTTTGCCAAATCAGGAATACATATTAAAAGGCCATGTAAACAAAATAAAACAAAAAGTATTTGTAACTATGCTACAGAAAGACAAAACATCAGATTTTCTATCTTTTTTTCTCTAAAGAGCTATGGAAACAGCAGAAGAACA